CCCAGGAGGTTCAGGAACAACCGGTACCTGTTGTGGTGAAACTGCCTTTTGAGCCCTGGATATCTGCCTCTCTAGGGCCTGATGTCTCCTGGCAGCCTCCTTTTCAGCCCTTTTGGATGGAGCTTTACTGGATAAAGCTTTTGCTCTGGCCTTGAGCTTGCCAGCTACCTCAGCCTTTGGCGATTTGCGCCTCCTTTTAACTGGAGGACTGGTTGGCGCCAGAACCAGGTCAGGCTGTGTATCTTCCGCCATTGCTCTCCTATAGTTGAAGACTGAAAAAGGGTAGCAAGAAACAGTCTGAATGAAAACAGGAAGAAAAAAAAAACTGTGGAAACACCCCTTTGTGTAAAATTTTTTGAGAGGTATTGTGACCTGAGAAACCCTTCAGCACAAGTCTGAGGATGGGTTGTAGCAAGTAATGAGAATAAGGCGGGACTGGAAAACCAGTATGGACTCCTTGCTAGAAACCTGAATCCCTTCAGCGCAAGTCTGAGGGTGGGATAACCAGGTAGCAAAGGCTGGACAGAACCAAAAGCGGCCCCCCTGCCAAGGAGTGTCAGCCTATATCCCTTCAGCACAAGGCTGAGGGTGGGATGTCCAGGCTGGTGAAGGCTGGAAAATTAACCTGGTGACCTATGAATAGGTGAGGCCTGAGACCCTTCAGAACAAGTCTGAGGGTGGGTCAAAACAGGCTAGGAGTTGAGGCCCAAAAGAAATTTTCAGAACTGGTAAGACCAGTATATATGCCCGTGGAGAAAAACTCTGTGGCACAGAATGTTATGATTAGGAGCTAGTGAAGAGTAGGCAAGGGGAGACCAACTCCCAATGAAAATAAGTGAATACTCTATACCTGCCAGGGGCAATGTGAAATATATGTGTTTGGGAACAACGTGGTATTGAAATCCCTATTTCTGCTTTCCAAAATAAAAAAAAAAGGGGGGGGGACAGAAAACCAGCTACTGGCAGAAATTTCGTTTTGATTTGGAAACTCCTCTATAATTAACAATGAAGGAGATGAGCAGTCGGAATGCAATAAGGCGATGACAAAATGGCGGCCGCCAGACACGTGGTGATCAAACTGGTGTTCTACACCTCTCCTGCAGTGCAGGCCTCAATTTTAAAATGGCGGACACCTGCCACGTGGCTCTGCTTGCAAGGAGGCAGCTAAAGCGCAAGTGAAAATGGTGGCCGTTACACCACGATGAACTGAAACTCATCCAGAGAGATTAGGGCCATCCTCTGCAGTTTGGGGCTTTAGCAGCAGTCCCACGCTCCCCCAAAGCGATCGCGCTTCAAAAGAAATTTACAGCAGCAGCGAGATAGCCAGCTAAACGAAAGGCTCCCTTTCGGCTGAGTTTGCCGGCACTCCGAGCCTCCGCGGAGAACCGCCGATCAGCTGGGGCGAGCCGAGAAAAGACTCCACAACCCCCAGGCTCCGAAGGCCACAACAAAAAGAGAAAACAAAGCAGGGATCTGCTAAAACGAGACAAAAACCCCTCCAATCCTTAAATACCTTTGCCAAGGGAAAAGGAACACAATCTCAAAATTAAACAACTGTAAAAGAAACGGAGGGATGGGGGGGAATGAAGAAACAACAGTGAGGGATTTAAGGGAGAAGGGAGAGATAATCTACTAAGAGGAAAAATAGTTTAATAAAACCTGAGTCTGGAGCTAAGAACCAACACGCCTTGTCTGGGTAGAAGACTAAGTCGGAACTGGGCATGTGCGACCAGGCAAGAGGCGTGGCTATCTCAGACTTAGTCTTATTGGGTACAAGGGACTTCAGGAAACCCAATCATGTGGATTATCCATCCCTCATGCTGGAGAATGTGTCAGTTTTCACGGAATGGGACAACTTGCACAGCCCACTCGCCATGGCCATCTTGCCACGGCCAACTCACCACAGGACAATTCAGCAATTCAGTTTAATTATTTAAATAATTAAAATATTATTTTAATTTTTGTCATTCACATTTCATTTTGTCCCTCCTTTGGCATCCTTTCTTTAATGAATCTATTCCACCATTTCTTCGATATTAGTATAACTCTGGTCCCACGGCAAGTTGTTCTACAGTGAGTTGACCATGGCAAGTTGGCTGTGGCGAACTGACCGTGGCAAGTTGTCCAAGACCCCAGTTTTCAGTACCTTTACTTAGCTGGACCTACCACAATTGTTATCAGACTGAAATACGACATCACTGCAGATCTCCTATGAGAAGGTTGTATTTCGTATTATTCATCCAGGATGTATACGGCCAATGCAACTGGATTCGTTTTTGGCAAATCTTATTAACCAAACTTACATTCTTATTTATATTTATTTATTTATTTATATTTGAATTTATATCCCGCCCTTCTCCCGTAGGACTCAGGGCGGCTGACAATCTATTTAAAATACATACAAAACAATACAAATTTAAAATTAATTAAAAGGAATATTAAATATTTGTCGAATTTAAAATATAATTAAAACCCCCCTAAAAATTACCCTAGGCCAGTCCTGCAAGCTGGAA